TAACATCAATAATAATAATAATAATAATAATAATAATAATAATAATAATAATAATAATAATAATAAATATAATAATAATAATAATAAATATAGCCGTTAACACAGTTAAATTTACCCTTCTATATTTATATATATATAGATAGATAAATTCTTTAATATAAGTTTGTCGTATGAGAGAAGTATCTGGGAGTGAGATATGCCCCTTTATCGTATAGGACTCTGTGGATGACCTAGTGATACGACACCGAGATTGTAAGTGGCTACACGTGATAGAAATTTTTCATACAACTGAAAAAGGAACTTTCATTGGTAGCCATCTTGAAATCCAATATGGCGGCCTTCTAACATAATTTTCTGATGATTTTATGATACCCTCTGATATTAAAGACATGGTTAAATGTGTGATTGACTGTGTTACCATACTTTAGATATGATGATAATGACAAAAATAACAATATTTTGGCAGCCATCTTGAAATCAAATATGGCGGTAATCTGACATAATTTCTGATGATTGCATAATACTCCCTGATATTGAAAACATAGGTAAAAGCCTTTGAATGACAGTGCTAGGTGCTGTAAATATGAAGATTATTGATAAAAATCCAGTATTTTGGCGGCCATTTTGAATTTCAAGATGGCGGCCACTAAGCGGCTTATATTTTGGGGTCTATGTTTTTTAATGATCCTTAGGTGTCATAGTATCACTGTGAGAAGTTTCATGCTTTCTTCCAAAAGTCCAAGATTTTTCTCCTTAGCCGCTCTACTATTTAAGTATCACTACATTGCTTCATCTTAATGCTTGTGTTTTACTGTAATTTCCGGTTGTTCGTTGTCACGAACATTAAAATTGTTTGTACGTTGATTCTGTAAACAAAGTACAATATTATATACCTTATTTAGATCATCTTTCAGTAATTTGTAAGCGTGTTAGTACATCATTATCCAACCTTCTGGGTTTAATCACATCGTACTCCATCAAATTTGTTTACCGTGCGGCTGCCAACTGAATCAGCGCAATACACACACCCTGCTACATATTGCATATATTGAAATATAGCTAATCGATCAATTTAATCTTTAGGCGATTCCATATACTGCAGTTAATACTCCAATTGAGCGTCTCTCTTCTCTGTGTACGTCCGTAGGTTAACGAACGACTAAGATACATTTTTGAATATAGAATACAATGAATGATTGTTACAATTTTTCTGTTGAGGAGGAATGGGACAGTCTGAGGTCGTATACAATTCCAGGTACATTTATAAACACCACCTTGAGCGTCGTATCCATCGCTGAAAATATTCTAATTTTACTTGTTATCTTAACGTACAAGCGGCTACGAAAACAGAAGAACATACTTATTACGAATCTAGAAATATGTTACTTGTTAATGAGCATTTCAATATTTATCTGCTGTATTTACGACTTGAAATGGATTTTTGCAGATAATACTAGCATCACAAAGTATATATTTGTTGCTATTTATAACACCGTATTAATAACATCTCTTTTGACAAGTTTGTTTTGTGGAATTGAACGATATATCGTCATTGTTGTGTGCCCTTACAGATTTAAGGAGATTATCACAACTCCACGATTGATCATTTCTGTTGTTTTTGCCTGGATATTTCCACTGTTGTGCTTACCTTTTTCTGTTCTTTTACAAGAAGATTCTCTTGTATTCTTAATATATTTTTTTACATTTTTTCCGCCGTTTTGCTCACTTGCAACAATAATATTCTATGAACGTATTCATCGTGTTTTCAGAAAAGCTGAAAAAGAATGGATAAAAAATGGCAACACAAGACATGTTGGTAAGGATAATAGTTTTAAGATGCACCGTTTGGCGTTAGTAGTTCTGCTTTTTACTTGTTTGCCGTTGAATATTATTTCAGGAAGCTATCTCATTTTTATATATTCGCCAGCGTCCTTTTGCAGCTTGACTGTTTTAAAAGCTTTGATGATAGTAAGTGGAATTGCCTTAGCACTTTTAACCATTGGCTGTATTGTCAACCCTTTAATCTATTGGGCGCAACATCGAGATTTTCGTAAAGGTCTTGCCATCTTGTTTTGCATTGATAATCATGTGTCATATGATACAAGCAATAGCATATCCGGAACAATTTTAACGAAATTTTAAATTTTGATAACTAGCCAACTGTCAATATTGTACTGGATGTTTCTGATATGCAAGCTCTCCAAGCTGAGCTACACAGCTTGCCTTCAACACAATTAGCTGTCATCTGGTGCAACTACTACGGCTACGCATTACGATCAAGGCACTGTGCTACACCACCTTCGTTAGATCCATTCTGGAATATTCTATTGTTGCTTAGTTTCCACACACGTAAGCTAACTTCAATAAAAGCTAGAAACTGTAAACAAGAGCCGCTGATTCTTAATTGTGAGTATCACAGGACCAGCATTGTTACAGCCATTTAACTCAACTGGCCCACTGTCTAGCAGTGCAGAAACCCCTACAAACTCCAGATGATAGTAGATATTTTACCTCATACCTATCTCCCTTTAGAAGATACAGCCTACGATTTTTTTTCAACAGCTTCCTAGTGTATCAAAATTTCCCAAGCACTATTAAAAAATCAGGTTACCTTGCTAACATCCTTTGTTACAACAACCCCTCTCGAAGCATTTAGAGTAGTCTGGCTATACTTACTATCAAAGCAGCTCCGCGTCTTACCATCGCTGTCCAGAACATTATAATTTGATAACAAGATGATAATTACAAACCCTCACCCTGTTGCACCATATACTGAAAAAGTAACGGCCAGCAGAAAAATATAAATAACATTCTAAAATCTGCATCTTAATTCCGATAAGCACCAAATTGGATGACAGAGATACCTGTAACATTGTCAATGTGTGGAAATTTGAAGTAAATCCGTCCAATGTTTTATGCGCCAAGAAGAACTCAGAGACACACAGGCACACATACCCACACAGACGCATGCTTTTGCTATACCTTTACCTCTCCTTTGGATAGGCGCGGGTAATTAGCACCATTGTGGATTTTGTGTTTCCTGCACCACTCATGCAGGACAATACTGCATTAGTATGAACTCAACTTTCAGGGTAGAAGTAGAAGAGGAAGTGGTTTTGTAACACTATGGTAGGCATGTAATCATCTAATGAAGAAATGATAATATAAACGATTATTTAGAAAATATGTTATTGTATAAAATGAAAAATTTAAAATAAAAGAATAAGTATTTTCAATTTTCAATGGTACTCTCAGACTTGTAATTTTATTTTTTTTCTCCCATTTTTTAATACTTAAATAAAAATCAAATGGTGGGTAGGGGGAGGGGGTTGTAGAGCCCACAAATGTAAAGATTTTGCCTCCAGGGTTACAACTTCAGTTGGACAATAGTGGAAAGGACAATAAAAATAGTTTTGTCTTTGGGTTATGTGCTCTTGTGGAACTGAAGATTTTTCAAAACATACGGTTAATCATCAATTGTGATTTTATTGAGAACGGCATGACGAGAATGAGGATCGAAACTTAAACCAACATCATTATCATTTGCCAATCACATTTTAACTTGAAAATCGTATACTATTCGTTCGTAAGCCTAAAACATATCAATTTTATTTTAATCTCTTCTATTTTAGGTTGCAAACTTGCCGAATTCACAAACACCGTTTTCAATTGACGTTGTAACTGTAATTACATTATAATTGGTCTACTAATTTTGTTGTTACAATTTCATCTTAAATGGTCTTGTAGCCAAATTAGTACATCATTTATCACTGGGTTGTTGTAGTTTGACCATTATTATGTCTACATAGCACGTCCTATTGTTATTGCTATACAATATTTTAATTAGATAAAAATGTTATTTTTTTAGATAAAAATAGGATTCTTAATGGTGGGTCACACTCACGAATATGGGGATCAACTGTTTTCTTGCGTAGCGGAGTATCTCAACAAACGCCGGGCCGGCTGCCACATTTGACGACCTTCAACGTGCTATTGAAAACTCTTACAAGAGGCTCACGATCACAATATCACTAATTTCATCTTTGTATGATATAAAGAACTGGCTATTACCATATATGCAGGACATTAGATATCACAGCAAGCCACATCAGTTTAAGTTTCTCGAGATCCAACAGGAAAGTGTGTAATGTATACAAAAAATTGGTCAACAGATGTTGCATGGACTAACTGCCAGGGTATCAAAGTAGATACACTGGCATATATTCTTAAAGACAGTCCGGTTGATGTGCCTGCATTATGCTGTCCGGATTTCACCAGCGTAGATTTGGGTAAACTTCAGATAAGCCCTTGGTCTGTCGCGAAATTCATGCGAACTGAAAAAATTGCCTGGTGGGACAATTTTATTAGCAAAAGGTATGGAAATAATATACTATTAACTGTAATTAATAGGTCTTCTATTAACTTTAGTAGATTTTCTAATTTCTGTGGTATTGATGTGCGATCATATTTGACTCAGGCATCAGACTGAGTACTATTGTTTCTGTTAAATTATAAACAATAAGAGAGATTACTAAACATAGCCTTTCGGTTGGAACCTTTACCATGAACCAATATAGAAAAGCTTGACCAAATCTATTGATCAACCATTCAGTTTGCATGAGTAAATTGTGAAATTAACGCCCATTAATGACCTGAGCATACGTTAATTGTTTGACGTTAAAGATTTTATTTTTAATTGTCATGATAAATTCCAAGAATCGGGTGAAATAGGAATCAATAATACCGGTACAGTTGCTTGGTTAATTATGTTGAAATGATGAACCAATTGATATACTTTCATGTACATAGGAAAACAAGTGTTCTGTGTATTACAGCCATTGTTGCATTGCTACGCCACTCAATGTTGTGATTGGCCAATAAATGTTTCTTGAATTAAATTGGCTATTCATGCTGCATTTAAATTGATATCCAGCCACGTTTCCTGTGTACTTTCTCAGTAGTTTCTAGTAATAAGAAGTTGTGTTCTACCTTCAAGGATCACATTGAAAGACTTTCCAAGCGGAAGCCATGCTGCAGGATGTCGGTGCAATGATAGCAACCGCTTTACAAAAGTATCCAATGAATGGCTCCAAATAGGAAAAGTTTGTCGTATCACGGATGATGATGTGGAATTCCTTTGGTACAGTGGGACGTATTCATCGGTGTGTATTTCATGTACGAAAAATGGGAAAGAATAGATGGAGATTATTAAGAAAAAAAAAAGAAGATGTGATTTTTGCTTTTAATCTAACGCCAGCTTGTAGATTGCCGACCAATGTTATTGTAAAGTTGAAGTAGCGTTGATTAACTTTGTAAAGTAGCAGTGGCGCATCCAGGGTCAGTGCTTAAAGTGCCTAAGAATACATACTGTATTTTAGGTCTATCTGGTTATTGACAAATACTACAATGGAAATTGCCATATCCTTTTCAAATAGATGTGGAATAACTTACAAAATAATCTCAGGTCATGTGCAAAAGTTTCCTTATTTAAAAGAAATCTTGATATGTTGTATAAGAAATTTAGTTGTGAATGTTTTACTATTTTATAAATATATTTATAAATTAGATAAATGTATCATTATATATTTACAATACCATAACATGACAATAATTTTCATGTATCAATATTATTACTCTTTGTTTTATTTATTTATTAAAATATCTATTAAATACTTGATTAGTTAATCAGTTGTTTAATGATTAGACACTTATTTGATAAATTGATTTATTGATTATAGATTGATTACTGCATTTATTTATTTTTTCTTGATTTTTTTTTAAATTTCTGTTTTTATAAAAAGGCACCACAGTTTAAAGCTGTATTTTACTTGTTTGTGGTTGTCCTATTCCATTTAATTACATTTGATGCATTTGAATTGTACTGTTTTATGTTACTTTATTTGGAATAAATTAATTTCTAATAAAATTGAATTGAATTGAAATGAACGCAGCGTCAATAGATATTTTAATTGATTAGTTAATCAGTTGTTTAATGATTAGACACTTTTTTTCATTTTTTTTTTATAAAAAAAGTAATTTAAAAAAAATTCAAGAAAATATATACATATATTTATATATATATACATATACATATATACACA